TATATATTAAAATATATCAATTACACATACGGCCATATTGTGTGGAATCATCAGAATCGGAATCTCTATAATGAGATTTTTTATCACATTCTTCTCTATCATCTATGCCTTCTGTATCAAAGATAGGTGCATCGAATTCTTGGTCATCCATATCTTCTTCAACTTCTTTATCCATAATTTCTATTTCTTCTGGCGTAAATGACATTAACGGATTAATACTATCAGCAAAATTGTCTTGCATACTTTTCTCTTGCTCTTCTATACGTTCTGGACTACTACAATGTGGAGGTGGTATTCTAGAAGCACGAGCCTGAAAATGTGTATCACTTATTACACATGGGATAAATCATCAAATCAAATTTTGTTAACTAATAATGATAATTTCTTTATTAAAAAATTACTTTTATAATACCTATACCTTTGCAGTAAGTGGAAATAAACGTTCATCAACATGTTCCCAACGTTCTGCACAAGTCCAAAGCCAATCTGGATTTACAATTTGTATATTTAAGTTTTTCTTTGCTGCATTAGCTTTAGCTGTGCCAGGTCTAATAGCAACTAAGTGAGTAGTTTTATCTGACAAATCCTAAAACATAATGATTTATTAAAATAAAAACGGTAGGTAGCAGTAGAAACAATAAACTAACATATTACTTGTGCTACTTCTGCTCCAAATGCTCTAGCAACTTTATATGCTCGACTTTGATGAAGTTTTTGATGAGTAGGTATTAGTCCACTAAAAGTTAAATGTACTCCTTTCAACACTTGAGCTCGTACTCGTGGAATAATGTCTCTTAACGACTTGCGTCCTGTTTCTTTTTCTATAGTAGCATAAAATTCTGTATGAATTCTCCGAAGAATATCCTCTAAATATAATAAATAATCGTCATCATCTTCATCTATAACATTATTCTCATCAGAACTTTTATCTCCACTTTTTATATCTTGTACTGATTCACTTGGAGTTAAATTTTCTTTTGTTTCCTCCAATATTTTATTATTTTCACTATTAAGATTAGGATTTATATCAATGTTATTCTTGGTGTCATCTTTGCTATTTTCATCATTTGTTTCAGCAGATTCACATTCATTTTCTTTATTTTCAATTGCTTTTTGAATTTCATTTTTAGAATTATTATCAATTATACTTTCTTCATTTGGTAATTCAGATGCACCATTTTTATCTGATTCATTTGGATTATTATCATTACAAAGCTCATTTGTATTTTGTAATTCAGGTAAAACTGATACATCACTTTTCTCTAGTCCTGGTGGTGCATGTATATCACCGGTATGACGAAAAAAGTGATAAGGTTTAACTTGAACTAAATTCCCGCATCCTTGCCATACGTCTTCTCTGTCGTCTATAATGCATACTAGATCATCTCCACAAGGAAACAAAGCCCTACAGCAAGTTGCTTAATTGTTAAATAATTCAAATGAAAAACTTGTACATTTGAAGAATTTATTTCTTTTTAAATATACCTTAGACAAGTATAGAAATTAAATAAAATAAAATTTTTGGATAATCATACTTGAGATTAGCTGTTTTTGATGCAGGATCAAAACATTCGTCTCTTGAAAGTATTCTATGAGAAAATAAAATTCCATCTTTATCCAATAATGCTGCTACAGTGTGTGCATAGTTTCTTGCTCCAAATGTACATATATGCAGTTCATATAAACGACTCATTTCAAAAAGAAAGTGTCTTGTATTAGGCCTTAAACGGGTATGATACCATGGAGAATTTGGTCCATAAAGTTGATAATGATAAACATCCTACAAAAGGTGTGCTTAGAATATTAATCACATCATTATCATTATATGTATATATATGTACATGTAATATATATACCTTCATATTAGGAGGAACATTATCATTTGTTGTATGAACAATTGTTTGATCAAGATCCACAAGTAATGCTAACTTGCGATCACTTAAAAGACGTTGTTCATCTTCTTTTCCAATTTTTTCAGCCAATTCTGGGCACACTTTTAATTCTGGTACACTATGTACCATTGGTACACTAGCTTGTGAAATTTTTGTACTTTCATTTTCTTTACCTATTCCTTCAACTCTTAAATCTACACCACATTCAGCACATAAATCTTTCATTACAGTAGGATGTTTACATCCCTCTAATGTCATTATTACTTGCCTGTAACATAAATCACTTGGTCATTTACATAAATTTAATAATAAAAGTGTATAAAAATAATCTTATTAAGAAAAAATCATTTCCTTAATGAACTTCCTAGTTTGATAGAAAGCATTATGCATTGAATCTTATTTATACAATTTATTGATTATTAGGAAATCTTGAAAACGTAAGGTTAAGAAAAATTATGTACCCAGGTTGAACAACATCTCCTTCTTTTGCCAAAAACTTTATAACACGGCCAAATCGTGTAGCTCGATATTTTTTCTCTGGACCTTTGCTCTCTTCTGTTCCTGAAGTAACATTTTGGTATAAAAACAACACTCTACCCGCTGCAACCATCGTATCCATTCGAACTCTCCATTTCAATATTTTTCCTGGTTGTCCACCAAATGGAAATATGATCTCTATTGTCCCCATACCTTTTTAATAGCAAACATTCAGACGCTAAAATGTTATCTATTATTGAAAAAAATTAAATAGTCAATGTCGTTAAACTCTTAACGTTTTTGCGCGGGAGATGACATAAACACACATTGATGTTCAATTTCTTGACACCAATGAACATACACGCATGAATATATATGTACATATATGTTTTTCGTTAAAGTGTACAAAGATAGAAGATTCTTTACTTTGCTAGTAGAATAGTATTTTTTAATCGCATCATTGAAAAGTATTATTTATTTGAAAGTATTATTAATATTACATAAAATTCAGTACAGAAAAGTAAATAATACGTAACTTTTAACTAAAGATATTAAGTAAATACATTTATTATTAATTTAAAAAACATACTATATGTTATTATGCAAACAATTATACATATCGAAGAAAGTTTGTCACGAATTCATGAATTTTAACATTATTTAACAGCAATGTACCACAAAAAATTCTTAAATTTCTTCGGTATGTTATTACGTGTTATTTTAACTGTCATATATAATACGAAATTTCCCTAGTACAAGCATTTGTGCATTCGTATTATAAAGGTTTGTCATGTTTAGTCTAAAATTGAACTAGCTTTCAAACGCTTTTACAGTGAAGTGAATTTAAAATTTTTAAACAGAACTTTGTTCTTCTATACTATGGAAAGTAGTGCAGAAAATATACTCCCAAACACATTTGGTAGGTATACATTGCGAGCAAGAGGAAGACAGCAATTTAGTTTAGGTACTACTTCTACTTTTGAGAGAGATGTTGAAGCCGTTGACACGTTAGAAAATATACTAGGTAAAATATTATGCTATGCAAACAGGAATAAAATTTATATTTAAGTTATTTTGAAGTGAAAATAAAATTTTTAATTTTGCATTCTAAATAATAATAAAATAATGTAATTATAACAAATATAAATAAC